GGGAGTGGGGGGGGGGAGAGAGAGAGAAACATCAATGTTAGAGAGACACATTGATTGGTTGCCTCCCAAATGATCCCCAACCAGGGCCCAGGGCCAAGGGATCGAACCTGCAACCCAGGTATGTGCTCTCGACCAGGAGTCAACCCTTCACCCTTCGATGTGTGGGTTGATACTCTAACCACTTAGTCACACTGGCCAGGGACCTAAATTATAATCTTTATACTTCATCATCTCATAGTACCCAATAGAGTGGTCTGTATACGTGTATACAGTAGGACCTTAATAAATCTTTGATGTATATTTGCTGTGTGCCTGCCTGCATGAGAGCTATTATGTTTGGCTTTTGCTGGAGGTGTAAACTTATGATGTAGTCACTGGTAAACCACTGTGGGAACCGAGATATCCACAGAGGGGAATTTGTCTATGGTTAGTAAACCATTGTGGCCTTGATGTCATTAGGACCCAGAAGAGTGTTGTTCTAGTTTCCTCACTTTGTAAAAGGATGCACCAGTTTTTTCTTTTTACATTCTTAGCTTTGAAAAAGTCTAGAAAGTATTCTTTGAACTCCAAAGCTTGAAGGAAAAAAAATTACCTAAATTTTAGACCTGTATTAGGAATAAAAACTGGAATTGACTTTATTAAACAATTCCTTTTCTATGGAGTATATTGAGTACCCCTTTTGAAAGAGGAATTTAGAGTACCTTATGCCAGCTTCCATTTTATGGGCCTTCATAAACATTCTAGTCAAATGGGAACATTTGGCTGTGCTTTTACATGTTTTCACACTGAATTCATATTGTTTTTCCCCCTTCTGGAAGCCCCAGTGGATTCATTACTATATTGCAGCAACTTTATCAAAGTAAAGGCTTTTGTATAAACTACTTAAGCAATGTTATCATTTGTTCGAATTGAACGTGGAAGTAAAATATCTGGAGATAATATGCTAATATTTATCACTGAAAATAAATTTGTGTTATAAAATTAATGCAATTACTTGTATTGATTGCTAGGTAAAATCTCTGGTGACATTTGGATATTAGTTCCAGAGCAAATTTCTTAAAGCTTTTTATATTTTTGGACAGAGATATTTTAATTTTTCAAAGAGAAAAATGATAACTAAACTAAATTGCATATTAGCATATTCTATTGTTATCTATTATATAGTGTTAATTTTTCTTTCTGTGATTAAGATCTCTAGGTTTTAAAAAATATATCAAGCAAATTTCATCAGTTTTACTTGTGACTCAGTGAAAGATAATGAGTTCATTTTTTGGTAAATACTATTTTAGAACTTTTTTGTTAGACTTTTGAGGACTTGATCTTATTTAAATTATTTTTTAAAAACAATCTGCAGTCTTAAATTTATTGCATAGAAAAATTCAACTTCTTTGCAGAAAAAGTAACATTTAAATATAAAAATTTTATAATAGTTATAAAATGTGTGAGCTTTCTAGGAAGATGACTTATGAAGTTTATACATACTTGCTTAACTCATATAGAAGTGATTTTTTTTTTTTTTAATGACTGTTGTTAGCAGGGAATCAAAGTCCTTTAGCAGAGCAGTCTTTTTTATTTTTATTTTTTAAATAAAAATTTTAAATGTAATTTTTTACAGAAGTCTTATTTAATACTAACAAATAACTTAGGGTAACTGCTCACAAACTATTGAACCGTGCTTCTGTAAGAACTTGTGTGAGACAAGGGTAGGTGAGTGGGAAAACTGGTTCTGGAAGCACCTGTTCTAGAAGGAAGCCTTGAAGGAATCAGAACAGATCCGATGGGAATCCAGCAGACACAGACCCCAGGTGAATGCTGAGAAGGGCGCAGCATGTCCAAGAGCAGGCCTGGAGCCAGAGGGCTCATGCCTGGGTAGATACGTGAGGTGCAGGGACGAACCGGCTCAGGAATGGAATCAGAGTGAGGGATGTGCACACAGCATGTGAAGGCAGGTGAAACATTTTTGCTGCTCAGTGATCTTTTGCTTCCATTTACTTTGGCCAGTCTTTTGACAGCAGTAGAGGAAGCTTCGGACTTAACTGGTCTAATCTTGTAGTTAGCAAGCATTCCAGTGACAACACAGGGGCTGTTGAAACTGGAGAACAAACCAAGCGCTGGAAAAAACACCGGGTAGCAGAGGCTGGCTCAAGCCTGAGACTCAAGCACATTGTGCCTGGGGCCCGCTGCGTTCAGGCCAGGTGCAGGCCAGCACCGCTGTGAGAGGGGGTATGTGTTCACCTGGCCCCAGGGGTCTGCCATGACCACTGCGGGGCCAGTGCTTCGGCGAGGCCCGTAGATGACTGCTGGTTTCTCATGATGTGGTAGTTTCTGGTTTCAGAAGAAAAAGCACGGATTTGAACTATGAGATTTGTGGTAGTTACAGAAATTCTATAATGAATATATTTTCAAATGTTTCATAAACTATAAGACGTACAGCTCATCTTGACTAAAATTCTGTTTAAAAAGTGCAATTTCTTTGTCATATATCGTGCACATTGTTTACATTTAAGTTTGTTTCCCCTTCTGTATTGTATGTCCTTAGTTTTTAAAAAAGTAGTTGGTTCGCTGAAGCTTCTAAAATAGTGATGGAAATAGTAACACAAATAAACCTCTAAATAATGATGTAAGAATAAATGGCAAACAGTGCATAAGTGGGTACCAGATGGGAACCTGTATGCTCTGCAACTAATGAAATAGCCAGTATTGTGCTTTCACACAAGAGCCAAAAAGGGAAAATGGTGGTAGAAGTATCATGATTTAAATCCGGAAACTGGGTTTAGTTGTACCACGTACCCATTCATTGCTATACTCCGTATACTGTCACTGAAATTTTATTAATGTGGTATGACGTTATTGAAGCTTTCTAATATTGAAGCTTTCTAATTTTTTTTTAAACCAAGCACAGTGACATCTGATAAATCCAAAATTTCACATATAGACTGCCTGTTCCTCTCGCGCGCTCATTTTTCTACAGGCTTTTTAAAAAAAATTGACGTATAGGAATCCACTGTATATTGTGTAATGTAAGCCTTTTGCACTTACATGGCATTTCAGATATGTTTGTTCTCTTGTGTTGTGACTTTCCCTTTTTTTGGTCTTTTTAGTGATGCTTTTTTTGAAGAACATAAGCCATGAGTTTTAATGCAGATTTATCTGTCTTTGCCCTTATGTTAACTTTGTAATAAACCTGGATGTCCAGGAGAATAAGTGCCCCATCTTGTTCTTCCTCAGAAGGGTCCTGGCTGCTCTTAGCACTTTGCATTTCCAGGGACCTTTTGGAATCAGCTTGTGAAGTATCGTAAAAATATGTGTGGGATTTTAATGGGAGTTGATTGAAATTATGAGTCAGTTTGCAGAGAATTGATATCATTATAATACTGAGTCTAGAATACATGAACATGGCATAATCTCTGTTTATTCGGCTTATTTTAATATTTTTTAGTAATGCTTAATTTTCTGTGTAAAGGTCTTAAACATCTTAGATATTTGATTTTCATTTAATGCAAATGGTGTCTTAATAGTTTTCATTTTGTACATGACTATTGATAGAATATACAAATGCAGTTGGCTTTTGTTCAGAGGACTTATGCTCTCATAAATTCTTACAATTTTTTGGTAAGGTTTTCTTGGATGCCTTATATAAAATCATATAGCAAAAAATGGGTTTGTTTTTACACTTCTAATTTGTATATCTTTTTTTCTTCTTGCCTTATTGCTTTGTCCAGGATTCATAGTAAAATGCTTTATACTAGTAATAATAGAGGGCACCCTTGTCTTGTTCTAATTTCAAAATTTCAACACTGAGTATAATGTTTGCTGAGGTTTGCTGTAGGTTTTTTGTAAAATGCCCTTTATCGTATTAAGGAAGTTCCCTTTTTTCCCTAAGAGTTTTTCTGTCGCTAAGAGTTTTTATTGTGAATGTATGTTAAGTTTCATCAAATGCTTTTGCTCCATTTATTAGAATAACCACTTGGTTCGTCTCCTTAACCCATTAATATAGCAGATTCCATTGATTGATTTTGCTTGAGTTTCAAATGTTAGACCAGCCTTGCATATCTGGAATAAATCTAACTTTGTCGCGATTCTTCTTTTTATGTATTACTTTCTTCAGTTTACTACTATATGGTTTAAACTTCAGCATTTATGTTTATGAGTGAAACTGGTCTGTAAATTTCCTTTCTTATACTGTCCTTGTTGGATTTTGGAATCAGAGTGATTCCTCACTGAATAATTGGGGACTGATTCCTCTTCTTCCAATTTTGGATGAATTTTTGTAAGATTAGCATGATTTTTTTCCTTAAATATTGGATAGAACTTACTGGAGAAACTCTCAGTTTTCTTTGTGGAACTTTTAAAAAAATTATGGTTTTAATTTCTTTAGTAGTAATAGGCCTGTGCAGTTACTGGTTTGTTTTGTGCCAACGTTTGATAATTATATTCTTTAGGAATTTTTCTGTTCTATCTTAATTTTCAAAAAAACTTAACCAAAGTATTCACTTTTCCTTATTATTTTATAATGCTACAGAAGCTTTTATAATCTTCCAGTTTCATTCTTATTTGTTTCTTTTTCCCAACCAGTCTTACCTTTGGTTTATCATTTTATTATTCTTTTCAGGGAACCAACTTTTGGCTTTTTGAACTCTTTTATGCTTCATTTTCTGTTTCCTTAATTTCTGCATTTGTCTTTATTCGTCTGTTTTCTTTGGGTTTATTTTGCTCTTAATAACATCCTGAGATATGGATGTTTAGCTCATTACCTTTCTGTCTTTCTCTAGCTTTTGTAGCTGTGTATTTTCTTTTAGACCCACTTTAGTTGCATCCCTCAAGTTTTGATATATTGTATTTCCATTGTTATTTATTTAAAATATTTTATAATTTCCACTAGCGTTTTTCCTTTTGCCCATGGATTATTTATATTACATTGTTTAATTTTCAAAACTGTGATTACCTTGTCTGCTTCGTAAATCACTCTTTGAGACCGATGTATAAAAACAAATCCCACTGTAAGTTGTGTATTTTCTCTTTCTCCTTGTAATCTTATTCCTTTTTGCTTTCAAATTTACTTTTTATATCTATATTATCTCTTGGCACATGAGTCTCTCAAAGAGCATTACCCAACTCATAAAATGTGTGGATATAAGATGAGTGATGTACATTTAAATACATGTGTACACACACACACACACACACACAGACAGACACACACAGACACACAGACACACAGACACACAGACACACACACACACACACACACACATCCCTATCCCTTGTTCACCGGAGAGAACGGTGGAATAGTTCTAATGATAAAAGGCTACTGTTGATTGAGCAATTATGATTAATTATACACCATAAGGTAACATACATTTTTTTTTTAACTTTCAAAGCAACATTATGAGGTAGTTATGTTACCCCTCTTGTACTGATTAAAAAAACTGAGGCTTAGAGATAGTAAATAATTTGAATTGGTTCATATAGCTAGGAAGTAGTAGAACTGAATTTTATACCCAAATCTGACTTGGAAATATTTGTTCTTAACCAGGATATTGTACTAACCCTTGTGTATTAATTCTTCAGGAACTATTTAATATAAACCTTTGTATACTAGTATGCAATGTGAACATTATTTTAAATGGCAGCAACATGAATTTCAGCCCTTTCAGTTTATTAATTTAAATAAAGCATGCTAAATGTACTTAGAATCAACATATACTCTATTACCATGTGAATTTTTTATTTCTTCTTCTATAAATTATACAAGTTTATTGTTTAAAAAAATGAAATAATACAGAGATATGTAAGGAAATAGAAATCTTCTAAGATTCTGTCATGCTAAGGTAGCCTCCAGTGTCATTTTGAAAACCATATTTCTATATTTTTCTCCATACATATTTTCACTTGTGTATATAATTGTACATAAATGGGTTCTTAATTGTTTTTATTATGGACTGGACTTTATATTTTTGAATGCTGGAGAGCAGAACATTACTTTATGGTGTTAAGGAGCCCTTATTAATTTCTTACTTTAATCTTATCAGGTCAAGGTAGGCAATGAAGTTGCTACTGGAACAGGACCCAATAAAAAGATAGCCAAAAAAAATGCCGCAGAAGCAATGCTGTTACAACTTGGTTATAAAGCATCCACTAGTCTTCAAGATCAACTTGACAAGGTGAGAGCTAAGTTTACATGTACAAGTCCTGTTCTGTTAGAATATGAGATGAACGAATTCCATTCCAGTGTGCCTTGACTCTAAGCAGTGTCTTAAGTAGTGTTAAGTAGACATCAAGTTTTAACTTTCCTAAGGCAGCACTGTTTAACTTGAAAGACAGATTCTCCAGTTACAAAATAACATCTGTTTATGGTGTCAACATGAAGAAGTATTAATTATAACCTTACAGTTAGCAAACACTAAAAATTTGTGTGTGGCTGTATGTATTATGTATAATACCAATTTAGTAATTTATAGCTTATTGACTGGTGGAGTTTTACCATGTAGACAGTTTTAGTCTGTGCTAAATTTTTAAGAACAGAGGTTGTTGGCTTTTATTTCTGAAATGCAGCTGAAAACACTGAAAATAAAGATCCTGAGTTATCCCTTTAGGGCAGGAACTATATTGGACAGACACTCTATAAACTAGTTTTTCTATTTACTTTAAATTTAAAGGTAAACTCAGAGGGTGTTTATTTTCTGCCAAGACTTGTGTTCATGGTCCCTATTTCTTCTGCACAGTTAATGACATCATTAACACCTGCCTCTGTTGCGAGGGAAGCAGGGAACCCCGAATTCAGGACTTGGCAGATAACTTGGCAAGAACTGGCTTAATTTCATTTTATCTATGCACATGTAGGAGTTATCATTAACATTTTGTTTATATGAAAATTCACAAAACAGGCTTAATAATTATTTCTATCTAAAACAGTATGCCTTTTTCCACTCTATTTTCTTGCATAAGGGTTCTGTCTTACAGATATAACCAGTTTCTGTAGGAACACATTTCTGAGGTCTAGAGTAGAAACAGAATCCGTCTATTAAAAAACATTTAGGTATAGTTTTCTTTTTAAGGCAACTGTGAATATGTAGGCAATTATTTTGAGTGATTAAAAAATTATTTGTCTGTGTGGTATCGCTAGAGATTTCAATTCTGTTTTTATAACCTGGGTAGTCAATGCTTTTTCTTCCTTTAAAAATATTTGTAACATGAAACCTAACATGTGTTCACATTTCTATAATTCTTACGTTGTGTATATGTTGTTTTAACTTAACACATTTATATTGACTTAAACCTGGTGAGTGATTTATAAAAATATGTCAAAATAAATCGTAGACATTTATTTGGAAGTTACGTAAAAACAAAACAGAGCAAAAAAACAGCATTAATGTCATTAATTTAAAACAACATATTTTTGCATACCCACTGTAGTATTAGTGAGGGTTCTCCAGAGGAACAGAGCCAAGAGGATATGTGCATGTATATACATGTGTACATACATGTATCTATCTACACACATATGTATGCCCATGCATGTAGATACGCATCACACACAGAGACCTGCTTTGAGGAATTGGCCCATGCAGTGGTGGAGGCTCGGTGAGTACAAGGTCTGATGGGGAGGCCGAGCTTCCTTCCTTCCTCCCTCCCTCCCTCCCTTCTTTTCCTTTCCTTCCTTTCCTTCCTATTTCTGTATCTTTTTCTTTTTGTTCTATTTTCTAGGAGATTTCATCAATTTTTGTCTTCCGTCCTCTGACATTTTTTACTTTGGCTCTTGTATTTTTGATGTCCCAGAGCTCTTATTTCCAGGATATTTCTTTTCTTCTCTTCTTGTTTAATGGGTATAATAATTTTTGTCTCCGAGGATTTTTTTAACTTTGTTTTCAAGTTTTATTCTGCTCCCTATATTGTCTTTGCCACTCCTTTTGGGTTGGAAGCTGTCTTCTAAGCTGGCTGCTGTCTTCTGAGGCCCAGATGAAGACGGGGCCTGCCGATCTTACCTTCCAGGGTGTGACCTCGGACTCCGTCTCCTCACCCGCGTGCTGGGGTGGCGATGTCACCCTCAGCTGTGTGTGGTGCCCAGAGCCTCTCTGTTTCAGCCTCAGAGAAACCTCGTAGGAAACCTGTCAGCTTGGGGTCAACGAGGTGACCTGGAGATTTCATAGCACCTTGAGAGACTTCCAAACAGTCGTTCGGTTTCAGGCCCTTCCAGGATTCATTGTTAGACATGGCAGGTGTGCTCCTAATTCTGGAGGCTTCCTGGGGTCTGGGGCTCACGTCAGTCACCCCTCTGCAAGCTCTTTGCTGGCTCCTCCCTCCGCAGTTTCAGCTTCAGCCTCCTGCCCTCTGCTACCTTAGGCTCAGCCTGTTCGCCTGCCTTCCAGGGTCCAGACTTTGACCTGTCTCTGCTGTTGATTCCTTTCATAGTCCTGGGGCAGCGGGTGGGAGAAGGGAGGGAGAGAGAAGTTATGGGATATTGATTTAGAGATGTTTTGGGAGAGAGATTTCTCCTTGTGTTCACTCTGTTGTGTTTAAGCCTAAATCTTACAAAAGCAGTTTCTTTAGAGTGTTGGGGTAGAAATGAGAGAGCGGTAGATGTGAGATTCAGTTGAAGGTGAAAAATCAGGCATAGGGAATATAATCTAATATTTAAATAACTTTGGTTATTAGTAGAAGGAGAGGAATTAAGAAAGGTTGCATGGCCCTGGCCGGGTGGCTTGGTTGGGGTGTTGTCCGGTGCACCAGCAGGTCGAGGGTTAGATTCCTGGTCAGGGCACATACAGAGGTTTTGGGTTGGATCCAGGGGCTGGGCACATTCGGGAAGCAACCGATTGATGTTTTCTTTCTCTCTTTCTTCCCCCATTGCCCCCTTTCTGAGATCAATTAAAAAAAAAAAAAGGCTGCATGAAGTGCGAAGCTTACTATTACCAACTTCAGCTGGGCCCTCAGATGTCTGAGAGTCTGCATTCCTCTAACCAGCCCGTTCTTTCCGTCCTGAAAGTGCTTATTCCCTACTGTGTACACTTTCCTCCAACTCGCTCCCCTCAGTCAGCTTCCCTCTCACTCTGGGGCCTCGTCCCGTACTTCACAGGAGCAGAAGCGGGGGTATCCTGGCCTCCCCACCAGCATACACCCGCATTTCCACAAACATTCACCCTCCTCCATCCTTTTACAGTGGCTATGTCCTAGAATTGTATTTTTATTTATATTTGGATTTAATTATCCATTTGATCTTTGACACCTGATAACAAGTATGAAATGCTGGTTATAATAGGAAATGTGCCTTTTTTCCTGGAGTACCTGGGATCCATAACATCAGCTCCACACAAAAAAAGAAGATCAGTTAATATCACTGATTAATTTGATAAAATACTTAACTACTTCAAACTCTCTGAGTTTACACCAAACATATCAGGTCATCTGGTGAAAGTCAGGATATTACAAGTTTTACTTAAAGTTAGGGCTTAGTTTCAATTTTTGTACCTGTCATTAGCAATATTTGGTGACCGCTGTCATAGGGCTGTTCCCGAGCAGACACAGTAACATTGCTGCTGTTAGCGTGACCTCAGGAGGAATAAGGAAGGTCCTTTAGTCTCTTTAGCACATGTGATGATGATTATTGTTTACTATTTGAATAAAAATTACAAATTACTTTTTAACCACCTGGGTAGAGCTGGTGTTGTATATAATGTACTGAATATGGGGCTTTCTTGATGACTTACATTGTAAGTAAAGATAAAAGTGGAACGGGACGTAAGAAACAGATTCGAATGTGGAAAACGGAGAGATAATACTGTTCAAGTTAGTTACTGTCGTGTCCACGCCCTGGGGTCAGGGATGGCCGGGATAAGCAGACTGGCTGTGGGAGAGGCCTTTGCCCGGGCTTAATTGATTACTTAACATTTTTCTTTTTCAATAAGTCTGTTTCTTTAGATTTTAACAACTGATTTAATCTTTCAGACAGGGGAAAACAAAGGATGGAGTGGTCCAAAGGCTGGTTTTCCTGAACCAACAAATAACAGTAAGTTTTCACTTTTATGTTAACTACGCTGGGTGTTCATCACTGGTTCATTGACTAGTAGGTCACTGGGTATTTATTGGGTCTGTCTGGGCTCAAAATGCCATATTCAGTGTTGGGGGGGATACAGGAAGGTCGTGGTGTTTGCCTTTCTGGAATTGCTGGAAGACAGAGGTGCTCATATTCTTAATGTGGTTAAGCATCGCAGACGGGGTACCATTTAATTCACATAGTGATGACATTTTAAGTTGTTTTTATTGCAGCATAATTATAGTATGAAAGAATCAAAAAGAAAAGCAGTTATTTACATGCTCATTATATTCTAAAATCAGCTGTTTTCACAGTTGTAATTCTTTTTAGGTAAACACATTTTTACATAATTATATTTTACATTAAAAGTTATTCAGTTTTATTAATTAAAACAGATTAAGCTCACACATAATCTAAATAAGGTATTACAAAATCCACTGTATGGCCCTTGTTCAAAATACAGATTACAAGCATTGAAGAATTCCTGTTCTTCTGATATAGTGATCTCTAAAAGCTGTGCTGTCCATGGTTTTCGAGACTGAGGATTATTTCATAAACACGAATGTACAATGATTTTACGCCTTTTTCGCGAAAAGTTTGCTCTGTTTTCTTAGATAGCTGTGAAGATTTTTTTATTTCTACCACATCAAATAGTATTTATGACTTCTATATATTGTTGTTGTGAAAATACATCAGGATTTTAATGACCTGCCAGTTATTTAAACAATTAAAGAGCAATTGTTAAAACTACTTAAAATTCAGAATGTTACTCTGTCTTTAATGCAAAGAATGATGCCCTAAACACTCGCCTCGTGGTGACTTACCTCAGTGTTCTAAGTCGGCCACAACCAGCATCTCCATTTAGATTTTCTTCATTCATTGTATGTGACAGTGACCTTAATCTTCTATGGGAAAGCAGATACGGATGATAGATTTTGTCTGTGACGTTGGCAAAAGTTTGTATTGTGTTTTTTCATTTAGCATTGCAAGAGGCATTTTTCATGTTGTGCTGAGTCATTAGAATTTTTAATAATTGAAATATCAGAATGTAGGAATAAAGTTGCTCATAACTGCATTCTAATTATAGGATTATCAGACGCTTAAAAATCCACTTCAGTTTAGTTATTTTTTCAAGGGTTTGCGATCAGGCTGTTACGCTTTGGAAGCAGAGACATTTATCTTTAACTTCCTCCCTACCTCTCCCGAAAAGCATTTATTTTCACTGAAGTGACCATTTTACTATAAATCAGTAAAAACAAAATACCAGCCAATGAAGATGAAGGGAAGAGCCAGTGGAGTCAAACTCATTTCTAACCTTAGTGTTCTTCCTTATAAGCTCTGGATGCTGAATATACGTCAGTGTGTAAAGTGTTAGTTTATTCTTGGATAATATCTCGTCTCTTGATGTATAACGAAATTAGTAACAAGCTTATCAAAGCATGCTTACAACAACTGAATTTTTGGATTATCAAAACTAACCTCTTGTAAAGAATATTTCAGTGATGTAATGGTATTCGTGAGTTATTTTCTGGGAATAATTGAAATAATTTAGTAGGATTCTGAGCCTTTGATCTCTATATATGAGGATGATGAATGTGATAGCTTAGCATGTACCCCAAAGAAAAAATGGAATCAGTTCAGGATTCTCAGAGAGTTTACTTCCTTTGATGTTTGACTCTAGGTTTCTGATTACATGGTAAGGGAATGTAAGAAGCATTAAATTGATTTCAGTTTTATGTGAAGGACTTAGCGCAGTGCTTGTTTTCTAGCAAGCACATAGTGAGTGTTGATGTCCTTCCTTGCCTTCTCCCTCCTCTTATTTAATAAACGTGCATAATTCTGGGTAGGCTTGCCCAAAATTTCCTTACGCTTTTTATCTCTTGGGTGTTTTTTGCAAGCACATGGTGACCAAATAATATATAGTTTATACTTGCATAGTTTCTGTTGGCACTAGCCATTTTTTCAAAGAGTATAAACATTATTTATTTGAATATGGAAGTCAGTTCTTAACTTGACAACTTTAACATGAAATCACATGATAAATAACCTGCAGGCTCCATCATCAAACAGTGATATTTTGGCTCTTCACTTTTGTGTCTGTTGGTTTTTAACTTGCTAACAAATCTGGGAACTCCTTCGCAAGTCGGGGGAGAGGGATCAGAGAGGCCGTTGAGGGTCAGTGATCATTCGTGTGTAAGAATGCATACACGATTTGCTTTCTATATAGCCTTAGATGTGGTAAAGCTTTTTGAAGCCAGCCTAAAACTTAATCATGCTGTACGCACTTCAGGACTTCCTCCGGGCTGCTGTAGCTCACACTGAGAATTTGGAAGGATGACCATCCCTCATCCCTTCCCAGCTGTGGGGGGCGAGAAGGGGGCCCAGGGTCCTTCCCTGCGAGTGCTCAGTGGGCCTGCCTGTTACCACGCAGGATGAGAGCCGCCCCACCCCGAGGGGGCTGCTTCTCTGCAGTGGGCCCCGGAGTCCTCCGGAGCCAGCTCTAGCTTCTTAAAGAGAACACTGGGGAAAAGTCAGTCTCTTCTTAGGAACTGATCACTCAGGTGATGAATCCATTACCTAAATTTGGTTTAAATTCATATATTATGGTAGCATTTAGGTTAAACCCTCCTGTACTTAATCAGTTCCCGAAGTGTGACCTTTCGCCCTCAGCGGTTTCTGTCCCGTGAAGATCCCTGTGCTCGCGTGTGCTTTGCAGCGAGTTAGAGCAGGGACCTCTCAGGACGGCGTGTCCGGGACAGGAGTTTGGGTGGCCGGTGCTGGCCGCCTCGCGGACCTGGGCTCCCGCCTCCAGTAACTCACTGTGCATCTCACGATGCATGTCTCTGTGAAGAGTTACGTATAGCGCTGTAAATGCTGAGACTCTGATGATGTAAGCTTTGTAAAATGATTAGCCTTCCTTGAATAACATCTGAAAAGGTAACATACTACTTTATAAAAAACAGAATGTCATCGTATCATAAAGGGGCTCTTCTTCATTGTTTCCTTTGTGAAACTCGACCTTACTTCACAAATTGAAATTAACTTGGAGCCATAGTGTACACAAGTTAAAAGAAAGGAAGGCAGAATTTGAAAGGGGAAAGAAGAGAGTTTTAACCTGGCATAGTTAGCACCTAACTATACATGTCCATGTGCATTTAAGTTTTGAAGTGGGAGACATTATTATTTTTTTGGTGGAAGATATTATTTTAAAGATTACAGTCCTAAGAAACTGCTAACAATTACAACAAAAAAATAGTTTAAATGGTTTTGCAAGTGATTGTGATTACATAGCCTGGTCCCTGGCTTGATTGCCTACAGATTTAAAACATGGACCTGACGTTTGCATGCTTCCCAGGCTTTCTTCACTGGACCCGATTGCACTTGAAGGTAGTCTGTTCTAAGTGTGTTTTTACCCTTTGAATCCCTGTCATAGTCACGTTGAAGGGCAAGAGCACGTAACTCTGTAATGTGAGGTTTGTGTTAAATTTAGCACAGGGCAATTTAATGCTTGGCGTACACATGAAAAGCTAGATTTTTACAGATGAATGACAAGCAACTTTTTAAAAAAGATTATGTGTTTTAAAGATCTACTGACGGTTCATGGAAAACTTTGTAAAACATTTAGATACAGTTCAGTTGATAGTATCTTTTTGTATTCACATGCCACGTTTCTTATTAATACAGAGTTTTACTTAAAAACAAGTTCATTGTTTCTCAAAGGTGAACTCTAGCTTAATTCAAAATTGGATTGAGCTCAAAGGTACTCACTGGTATGTGCCGAATCCACCCACTAAAAGATTATTTGGAGGCATTTTTCACATAAGTATTTTTCCATTAACCTTTTAAAAAGTTTTATTTAGCCCCTGTGAAATATGCTGACTCTTCTAGGTTCATTAGAGATGGCCCAAGACAAATATGTTTGGGATGGAATAGAGTTCTTACTGGTCTTTTTAGTACTGTAGTTGACTTACTAAAATTTTGGTCACTTTTTGTGTACATCCTGAAACCAGAGGCTAAACCATCCCGGCAACCTGACAGATAAACCGTGTGCATGTCCCCCAGATGCTGTGCATGGTATTTAGAGCTTCCACTTTTTTCATTCTTGTTGGGTAAGGTTTGTACTTTTAAGATAATAGATTAATAGGCTCTTTAAGTGTTTTGGGACAGTTCCCTCTATGATTTCTTTCTGGGGCTCCCATAACAGAAACTACTTTGTAATGTGACAGTGAAATTAGTTGGAGCCAATTAGACTTCAGTATAAAGCTGAGCGATCCAAGCTAATTATTTATTTCGACATAAATACTGTGTTGGAAATCTAAAAGTGTAGCTGACTTGTAGCCATCCATTTAAAAAAAGGAGTCAGTGGGGTTCTTTTGCCCAGCCAGCCCAGTCCCCGCGTAGCTGATGGCCTTTGAACCAAGTGTGGCCCAGTAAATAGCAGGCTGTTCATCTGAAGTAGTCATGTCAACAGGACGGACACTGTCATTGCTGCTGTTTGCACCTGCTGAGCCTGCAGGTGGAAATGCTGTTCCTCCCCGAGCATAGGAATATCCAGATGTTCCAGAAAGATGCTCTCCCCTTATACGCTGGTGGCGTTGTTGGACCTCCCTGAGTGGTGACACGCATTAGCCCTTTTCCTGTTTTGACCAGGGTTCTCTTTTCTTGCCCACTGAACCCAGGGAGATGAGAGACAGCATTAAGCTTGCTTCTGTTTTAGACCAGTGGAGTTTGTCGTTCAGGGCCCATGCATTGAAGGAGAAAGTATCTTAAACTAGAAAGTGAGTCTTTAATCAGATGAACACAGGTAGCACATTTTTCTGAATTAGTCTCAGGAAAGATGGAAGGAATTTAAATTTTTGTGATTTAGATTACTTTTGCTCGGCTCATATTTTTATAAAGAAGCGATTTCTGGTACATGTTTCTTAAGAAAGGAAACCATCTGAGCAATTTAAGGACGCGTTTATTGAGCTCAG